AGATACACAACTCATTATAAAATGTTCAAGTCAATTAAGCAATTAACATTACCTCCCACTCGAACCAGTCCTACTATGTACAAACTTCTTCCAAGTGTCCTCATCTATGCCATATCTTTGGCAAGGGGTCAATCCCTTCCTAACTTTGTCCTCGGCATACACCCATTTAGTGGTCAATGTGGACTTGAACTGTCTCCACATTTTTGCTATGGTCTGTCATTATCTTCCTCCTCACATCCTCGGAATTGACTATATCAAAGTGTTCCTACGATAGCAAACAAGTTTTAGTTAACCAATTGATAATAATGTATAAACAACTAAATACACATACTTACAAGAAGATCTTGCCATAACAAGTTCTTCACAGTTTCCTCCACATGATCCCAACTAGGATGGAGAATAGATATCTACACAACATAAACAACATAAGTATCAGCAATATATTTGAAATGAAATTCACTTTCAAATAGAATAAATACCTTCTCTCTAGCTAGTGTACCCAAGTAGCTACTAAATTGGGTACTAAAGGGACCTGACACCTTGCCAGTCCTAGGATCAACAGACAGAGATAACTTCTGGCTAGATATGTGTCTAACGGTCAAGCCTTTCAACCGTGTAGATTGTCGACTCCTCTTACTGGAAAATGTATTTCCATATGCCTGAGGAGATGGTGGTGGAGATGGTGGAGATGGTGGAGGAGATGGTGGAGGACATGCCATTTACCTGTAATGAAAAAAACATACAATTATATCAATACACATGCAAAGTCTCCTCAATTACATGTTAAAAAAAAATAATAAATAAATAGAAACATAACTTAGATTGTATTAATATTTTCCCATATGCCTTCATCATGGTCAGTGCGAGTAGCATGAACAAAGTCCTCTTCCAATTGGGATATAGCAATAGGCAACCGTGGTGAATTTTGAATGTTAATAAAATCATCTAATTCTTCTCCATTCTCATTTGTGACATCAATAATTTTTCCTTTGAGGACAACTGACCACCTACCATTTGATGGATCAGTGACATAAAACACTTGTTTTGCCTGGTATGCCATTATGAAGGGTTCTTCCTTATGACCAATCTTGTTTATATCAATCAAAGTAAATCCCATTTGGTCTCTTTGGACACCAGTATTGCTATCAACCCATTTACATTTAAATAAAGGCACTTTGAATTTAGTATAGTCGACCTCCCAAATCTCCTCAATGACTCCAAAGTAACTAATTGATGCCATGATGGGGTTTTTGTCCTTTGCACTAGAAAAGTGCATAGATGTTGCCTCAATAGATACTCCACTATTCTGGACCGTACTTTTGTCATCTTGTGCCTTCGTATAGAATGAGTATTTGTTAATGTCATACCCTTGCCAAGTTATAACATTATATCTAGGACCATGTGCTAGCCATTTTAGTGAATCAGAGGCATTGTCACTTGAAAATATTTTGTTTTGAAACCAATTGATAAAGTTGTTGTTATGCTCTTTCATCAACCACCTTTCACCCATTTTGGGGTTTAGGTCCTTTAACATGGCTTTATGCGCATCTATGTAAGGAATAACCTCTTCTGTATTGTTCAAAATATACAAGTGGGCGGTGCTCAACTCTACATGATCTTTTGTTTGAATTCTAATACCACGAGTTCCCTTACCATTTAGCCTATCATCATGACGATTTCTAAGTACACCCACAGGTACGACTCTTGCCAAGTAATCTGTACAAAATTCTATGGCTTCTTCTGCAATATACCGCTCAACAATTGAAGCTTCAGGTCTGTATGGATTTTTAGAATACCCTTTGAAGATCTTCATGTATCGCTCAATTGGGTACATCCACCTCAAATAAACCGGCCCACAAATTCGTATCTCCCTCACAACATGAACTATTAAGTGAATCATTATATCAAAGAATGATGGAGGAAAAGACATCTCCAATTGACATAGCACAACCGTAGCCTCATTTTCCAACTCATCTAGTGATTTTTCATCGATAACCTTGGCACAAATAGAATTGAAGAAAAAATATAGTCGCATAATGGCATGTCTAACATTCTTAGGCAATATGTTACGTATAGCCACGGGTAACAACTGTTGCATCAAAACGTGACAATCATGGGACTTTAATCCAATTAACTTCAGATCTTTCATGGATACAAGACTCTTAATATTTGAAGAGTATCCTTGTGGCACTTTAATACTTTCAAGACAATGACATAAACTACGTTTCTCCTTCTTTGACAAGGTGTGACATGCTTGGTGGTAGATATGTTCTATTGCCTTCGAGGCCTTGGATGTAATTCAGGACGTATTCCCATCTCACAAAGGTCTTGACGTGCTTTGATCCCATCCTTTGACTTTCCTTGAATGTTTAACAATGTGCCAATGAGACTATCACATACATTCTTCTCCACATGCATAACATCAATACAATGTCGTACTTCTAAATGGCTCCAATATGGAAGATCAAAGAAAATTGATCTCTTCTTCCACATGTTCTTGTTAGAAGACCTTTTTGGGTCTTTCCAAATGTAATGCTTATGTTCTTCACTCGATCGTAAACTTGTAAACCGAGTCAATGGTTCTCTGGCAATTTCATCCTCATGTATGCCATTAAAAGCTTTCTTCGATCTACGGTATGGATGGTCATGCGAGAGAAATTTTCTGTGTCTGTTATAAACTGTCTTCTTTCCATGTTTCAATTGTAGATAACTGGTCTCTTCTTCACAAATAGGACAAGCATAATGCCCCTTCACACTATACCCACTCAAGTTTCCATAGGCAGGGAAGTCATTAATGGTACAAAATAACATTGCATGCAACTTGAACTTCTGCTGCTCATACCCATCAAATGCATCTACTCCTTCCTCCCATAATAATGTTAAGTCTTCTATCAAAGGACTCAAATACACATCTATGTCATTTCCTGGCTGTCTTGGACCTGAAATCATCATACACAACATGACATATTTGCACTTCATGCATAACCATGGTGGAAGATTGTAAATCATCAATAAAACGGGTCATGAACTATGGTTACTACTTAAATTCCCAAAAGGATTCATCCCATCTGTTGCTAATCCAAGTCTAAGGTTTCTTGCATCACTACCAAAACTTGGAAATAGACGGTCAAAATTCTTCCATTGGGGAGAGTCAGATGGATGTCGCATTTGCCCATCACATGTTTTTCTCTTTGAATGCCAAATTAAATTTTCAGCATCTTCGTGAGCGTACAACCGCCTAAATCTTGGAATTATTGGAAGATACCATAAAACTTTTGCAGGAGAACGTTTTTTACCACTCTCCTGACTACAATCATCACCATCCTTCGCTTTGTAACGTGATACACCACATGTTGGACATTGGTCTAAAGATGAGAATTCTTTCCTGTATAACACACAATCATTAGGGCAAACATGTATCTTCCTATATTCTAAACCCATCGGACAAAGTATCTTCTTCGCTTCATACATACGGTCCGGCAAGGTGTTATTGTCTAGGAGCATCTCCTTCAAAAGTTGGAGTAATTCATTAAAACTTGTATCACTCCAACCAAATTTTGCTTTTAGATTGACCAATCTTAACACAGATGACAACCGTGTGAAAGTTGTACATCCGGGATACAAAGGTGTCTCTGAATCGGTCCTCAATGTATCATATATAGATGCATGTGCTTCAAGAAATCTCTCTTGACCCACATCACAAAGCATGTCCTCTATTCGATCTTCGCAGGTTACATCATCCTCAATAGTTTGTGATACTTGTTGGAATATCAACCACTTCACCGTGCCATGTCCATATGGTGTAATTCTTCATCATCCCATCGCAAATAAGATGTTCCGCGTTGTGTCCATCTCTTGTACTCTGCCATTTACACAATTAACGCATGGGCAATAGATTTTTCCATTCATTTTGGGAGCATTTTTTCGGCAAATTTCAAAAAGGAGTCAACTCCATTCTCATACTCTTCGACATGCGACTTGCATTGACCCAAGTTCGATCCATCTAACTACACAAAAGGGCTTGCCTAGATATTCAAGGTTTATTAGAAAAGGTTTAGCAAAACAATACAAAAAAACGTCTACATCCGATTTCCCACGTAAAGAATGGGAAAATAAAACGTGTACATCTACATTAGTATATACCGAGTTCGAAACCGAAAACAAACTTCCAAAAGCCTAAAGGAACCTAGATCAAATCAAACCATACAAAATCATCCATCATCTTTCCAATGTTCATATGCAGGAAATGCTCTAAATAATCTATATTTATGTTAAATGCATGTCGTAAATCATCCATACAACTTAATCGGCTTAATCTAACTTCGATGAGAAGGGGTTTCCTTAGGGAAACGAGGGGTACCACACACACGTCAACAACGGCGGTGCAAAGCCGTGTAAGAGCGCGGCGAGGGCGGCGTTACCACGTCAAACAACGAACGACGAAGAAGGAGAGAACTGAGGTACAGCACACGACATTGAGGACCGAGGTAGCGGATGACGAAGAAGAAGCAGAGGAACCGAGACCGAGCACGAAGAAGAAGCGAGAAGAACAACCGCACGCTCCGGAGGCTAGGTATGTTAGGACATTCGACGTCAGTTATTAAAAAACCCGACGTGGATAATGCTTTCGACGTCGGGTAAATCATGGAACCGACGTTGATTTTGGGATTTCAACGTCGGTTATACATAACCGACGTTAAATTTAAACATTTAACGTCGTCTGTTATCTAACCGACGTTATTTTTCCATTACTACGTCGGTTTTGTTATAACCGACGTTAAATATTGTTTCTTAATTACAAGTTTGCCACCGCGTCTTCTACAACGTCGGTCTTCATAAAAACCGACGTTGGATGCTGTCGTAGTAAGTGTTTTCTGTAGTAGTGTAGCTTCTTTAGACAACTTTGTCCTTTCCATGGTCCACTTGGGATGCCATAACTGTTACATGTTTTGCAGCCGGCATGGCCTGCCATAAAAAACTCGGCTTGCCATCACCTTTGAATGGTGGCTGAAGGTATTTTCACCACCAGCCTTCTGCCATGGACACTTTTTAACAACACTAATAATAGGCATATCAATTGATCATTGTAGAAAGAAATGAGTTTCATTAGCCGAAATTTGTAAATTTGATGCATGTCCATTTGATGATTTTGGTTATGAAAATTTTCATGTGGTATTGGAAAAGTGTATACACTTTGTGCAGCTGGTGCTCGAGCAATGAATGTTCATTTCATTCAGAAGTGATATTTCAATAATGTGCTAAAACTAACTTTCTTTGTTTGTGTCGATATTAAGACAGGCTTTAATTCTTGCACGAATACTTGGCCATCAAATTAATCTGGATAGCATTCAGGTTTGGATGTGCATTATTATATTCAACTTTCCTGTCCCTTTCTATATGTTTCTGTACCAGTTTATTTTTCCTATATTATAAGTTAGTTAGATTTATAATTTTGTATGCATTTTACAGATTGAGAGCTTGTATCCCAGAGAAATGGGACCTGATGTAATGACTGTTGAAGACTTCTTGAACCGAGGACTCTTACTGTTAGATAAAGATATTGAAACTAGAGTTCAGAAGGCAGCCTCAAATGGAAATGTGTTGCGTTATGTTTGTGTGATCGAGGGTTCAAGGCATTTTTTTCTCTCCTCCCTCCATATTGTGTCTTTCATCAAGCATTGATTTTACACCTTTACACATTTTCAATTTAAGTTTTATATTACTTTGGTAGTGTTTATTGTTTGTAATTATTCACATTCAATAGTGTTTCCGTTTATACTAATAATTTTCTCTCTTCATAGGTGTGAAATTGGTATTCAGGATCTTCCAAAAAATTCTCCCTTAGGAAGACTAAGGGGAAGTGATAATGTGGTAAGCTTCTTTTAATATCTCGATGTTATGCTGTGCTTTTTTAATCTGATACAGTATGCTTTTCATCCTGTATCTCTTTCAACTCTCATTAATGTAATAATTCTAAACTGTGAAAGTATTTAATTTATTTTGTGTTTTTCATCCTGTATCTCTTTCAACTCTCATTAATGTAATAATTCTAAACTGTGAATGTATTTAATTTATTTTATGTTGATTGTCAGTTGGAAATATACACTCGATGCTATAGTGAACAACCACTGGTTATTCAAGGTGCTGGAGCCGGGAATGACACGACTGCTGCTGGTGTTCTTGATGATATTGTGGATGTTCAAGATTTGTTTCCTTAAAAAAGAAGCTTTTTTTTTTTTAATCCAAATTAAAGAAAGCTCTAGAAAGTAATTGATGTTATTTTTTATAGAAGCAAACTCGTATACTTTTTGGTATTTGACATGAAATTTTACCCCAAATATAATTGAGTTTTGCATTGGTCTATGATGACTATTTGTAATAGATAAATGTACAACAAAAATAAACTTCTAATAAATGATTGTTAATTCCTATCCAACATCTTTGTTGAATAAAAGAATAGAGGACAATTTTTCCTTCTAATTATTTCCCTTTGTAATGGTGACATCCTTCAAATTTTTTTATAAGATGTTTGTTCATTATTGTAATAGAGTTCAATAAAAAATTATTTTATACATTCAATTCCTTATCCAGATTGAATTCAGTTTAAAAACACCGTATCTCGGTATTCACCCCTCTAACACCACAAATCCTCAATATTCTTGCAACACCCTACCTTATAAACCCTCAATCAGAAGAAATAATAATTTTTAGTAGAATTTTTTATTATTTTTAAAACCAATAATAATCTTTCCCTCGTACATAATATTAATATATAAATTTTCAATAACTCATTCATACATTTCATCATTTTAAAAAGTACTAAAAGTAAACATTCATAATTGCATATAGATAAAATACTAGTACAATCCTTCAAAATATTAAGGGAAACATTGAGAATACTTCCTACAGAGCAACTAACTACACAAAAGAGTAACTATTACTCAGTACCCTGTAGGTATATATATACTACCAAAGACTGTCTATAAAAGTTTGGATATGTTTATCCCAATTGCCATCATTGTGGCTCCCAGATAATGAGTATGAGTGTCATATTCATCAGGTGCGGAATCTGTGTCATCTCCCCTCTCTTCAAACAATGACCGATCAGGTCCAACGAGTACCGCAAGTACAAAGGAAATAAAGAAAGCAGAAAGACAAGAGGGTGAGCAACAGTTCATACATCATTTTAAAATCAACATCATAAACATTCACAAGTCAATCAAATTCTAAATGATTGATGTTAATGATGCATGATCCTAATATGTTTTCTAAAATGTTTATGCATACGGGCTCGAATCATTTCTCAAATCAGTACTGGGGTAGCCAGGAGTTGACACTACTAGGCATGGAAAATCCACCCACGGGATTGTTGAGACCCATGCTCAAATATAAACCCAGTAGCTCACTGACCATTGATATACAGTAAGAGCACAGTCAGGTACAAGAGAGTTTGTACAGTGGGATCCCCGACAACAGGTAGCGAGTCTGGGTCTTTTGGGGCCTCTAACCACTACCCATCCTATCCTCAAGTCCTCCCTCAGGGCCTCCCCATCGTATTCTCAGAGTCCATAATCTCTGATTCCCCAGATTTCACAAATCACCATTTTTAGATGAGTAATGTATAAGTCCCTAAGTGGTTTTTCTTAGAAATACACATTTTTTCAAAAATTTTGATAGAGTTTCCCTTGTAATATGGACTTCCCAAAAATTTTCAATCACCTGTTACAAACAGAAAACTTCCAATACAGTTCAAAAAGGGTTCACAACCCATCATCCAATTCTTTCAATTTAATTTTCAATGAACTTTCTCATGAAAAACCACAATGCATATAAATGCTCACTGAAAGACCATACATATCATAATAGATTATCAAACATGTATTTTACACCATCATACACGTAAGCAATTCATTATCACTTTCACAATCAAGCATATAATGAAATCAAAATTATCAATCATAACAAATTTAGACAACTTCAACAAATAAGGTCAAACAAGTTTATGATGTAATCCTTACTATATAGCCCACCCCTTACCTGATACGTTCACACTTATTCCTTTCAAAGCTTGATGTTGTGTTTCAGCAAAATCTATATACGTAATAAAAAGCTAGTTAGAATCTTATATTTCTATGATTCTATCTCATGAGAATTTAAATTCACTTTGTATTGCTAATCCATTTTTAATAATATTTTAAGCTCACATTCAGCTTACAATTAACTTAGAAAATTATCATATTTTGTATACACTTAGAGTAGGAAAAATCCTAATAGCAAACATGAAAAAGGTTTAGTATTTCTAAATTTTCTAGAGTTATATAAGCTGTTTTGGCATGAGATTTGAGCCAAAATTTCAATAACTTAATTACCTACAATATTGATGAAGGAAATAAATTCAAATACCCTATAGAATAGATGCAGTTTTCAGTTTTCAGTGGTTCTTTCCAACTGGGCTCAATTACAATAACACTCTGAACATGCCTTTGTAATTGGATTATAACTCATGCTACACATAAGCTATTAACATGAAACAAATTTCTAAATTTCGGGAATATAATTTCCTACAACTTTTATGAAGGAATCAAGTCCTAATTTCTCACGTATCAATCTCAGTAATTCAAAAACCTAGGCTGTTGAAACAAGGCTACCTCTTAACATCATAACTAGAAAACTTGACAGTAAAATGGGCATAATTTGAGCTACAAATATCCATTTAATGTGAAACCAGTTTCTAAATTTCGAAAACTTAAAAGAGCTACAATTTTCATGAAGATACCAATTCCTAGTTCTGTTCACACAAGTCCCAAAAATTCAATGAATAGTACCTACGAATTAGGGCTCTTAAAGTTTTTAGCTTAACCACTTCTAATCCTCAATTTTAAGCATTATTCTAGTATTCTGGGTGTAAAACCTATAATAACATTCTTCCTACACTCATTCAAGCTCAGCCAAGTGAGAAAAAAAATAGAAAATGCACCGTTTTGAAAAATAAAACGGTAGAAATGTAGAGGAGATTGAGAGAAACAAACTTACCTCTTGGAGCTCCTCAAGAAAATCAAGCTTAAAGATAAGGAAAATTTTGAGAGAAAAAGAGAACTAAGCTGCAGAGAGAAAGACACTCCTTTTTAAAGTCAAATTTCTAATTCACCTAAACTTCCGCTCAGCGCATTTGTGATGCGCCCAGTGGTACAAAAAATTTATCTTTATTTTCTCCTTTTTACTCTAGCTAAGATTTAAACCCACAACCCCTAAGACTTCAAAATCACTCCAAACCATATCAAGCATCATATGTTTCTTGTCAACTTATACACATAATAAAATTTTAATGTACCCACACTCAATGCATAAAAGAAAACAATCATTTCTAAATGTAACAATTAAAATTGTTAAGTCCATACTCAACGTTCAGGCACACACACTAGTATTTTCTAACAATTATAAAATAATAGAAAAATTATAATTATTCTAATGCACATACAAAAATTGAACTCATGACCCTCCAATCTTATGATAAGGGTCTAACCAAATCATCCATTCCTCATCTCTACAATCACTACAAAAAAAACGCTTATTATCTACGGGTAAAATCCGTAGGTAATGACAAAAATCCGTAGCTAATGTTACTTTACCTACGGATTTCTTTCCGTAGGAAATCCGTATGTAATTCGGCCGTAGGTAATTTACCTACGGATTATAATCCGTAGGTAATGCACTCACCTAAACAAAATATTTTTATTTACTAAAAACCCCTCCCTTATTGTCAACTTATACACATAATAAAATTTTAATGTACCCACACTCAATGCATAAAAGAAAACAATCATTTCTAAATGTAACAATTAAAATTGTTAAGTCCATACTCAACGTTCAGGCACACACACTAGTATTTTCTAACAATTATAAAATAATAGAAAAATTATAATTATTCTAATGCACATACAAAAATTGAACTCATGACCCTCCAATCTTATGACAAGGGTCTAACCAAATCATCCATTCCTCATCTCTACAATCACTACAAAAAAAACGCTTATTATCTACGGGTAAAATCCGTAGGTAATGACAAAAATCCGTAGCTAATGTTACTTTACCTACGGATTTCTTTCTGTAGGAAATCCGTATGTAATTTGGCCGTAGGTAATTTACCTACGGATTATAATCCGTAGGTAATGCACTCACCTAAACAAAATATTTTTATTTACTAAAAACCCCCTCCCTTATTGTCAACTTATACACATAATAAACTTTTAATGTACCCACACTCAATGCATAAAAGAAAACAATCATTTCTAAATGTAACAATTAAAATTGTTAAGTCCATACTCAACGTTCAGTGCACACACACGAGTATTTTCTAACAATTATAAAATAATAGAAAAATTATAATTATTCTAATGCACATACAAAAATTGAACTCATGACCCTCCAATCTTATGATAAGGGTCTAACCAAATGATCCACTCCTCATCTCTACAATCACTACAAAAAAAATGCTTATTATCTACGAGTAAAATCTGTAGGTAATGACAAAAATCCATAGGTACGGATTTTTTCCGTAGGTAATGCACTCACCTAAACAAAATATTTTTATTTACTAAAAACCCCCTCCCTTATTTTTTATTATTACCTAGGACCCCCTCCCCTTTATATTATATTTTTATTACTTATTATATTTGTGGAACTTTGAATTATTATTAGATTAAGGGAATTATCATTGGCAAGATTTGAACCCAAGTATCTCGAGTTGGAGGCCGATACTCCAACCACTAAGTTATTAGGATATTTTGATAATAACTAACAAATAAATTATATTTATATTTATTAGTATAAATATATAAATATAAAATATATAAATATAAAATATATATAAATATAAAATATAAATATATTTATATTTTAATATATTTATATTTTGATATATTTATATTTTGATATATTTATATATTTATATATTTATATATTTATATATTTATATATTTATATATTTATATATTTATATATTTATATATTTATATATTTATATATTTATATATTTATATATTTATATATTTATATATTTATATATTTATATATTTATATATTTATATATTTATATATTTATATATTTATATATTTATATATTTATGTATTTATGTATTTATGTATTTATATATTTATATTTATGTATTTATGTATTTATGTATTTATATATTTACACGAATAAATATAACTATAATTT